AAAAAAAAAAAAAAAAAAAAAAAAACTTCATAGTAGTAGATTGTTTATCGCTTTTATTTATCTCACTCCAAATATGACAGTAGGTGAAGACGGACTATTTGTAACTTAAATGAGTCACAATAAAATATTAGAGTGAGTTAATTACTTAAGTGAGTTTATTGTTGGTATATATAAAGCAAAAGAAAATTAATTCAATCCCAAAAACATTCATGTCGAAACATTAAGAATCAATCAAATGAATCAATCAAATAAAAGCAGAAGCATACCACAGTTCATGAATTAAAGATTCTTGTGTTTTTCAGTTTGATGAAGTTGTGTGTTCTTCCAAACAATCTTGTTGAACTGATATGGTCTTCGAAACGATCAAAACCTTATAGCAGATATATATATTTATCTGTAGTATACTATAGCATATATTTTTTATATTTTGTTTTGTAATGATGATAGTGCTTTTAAAGGGATTTTGACAGATTAATGTGTTAATTTTTACAAGCGCTAAATTATTGTTTCTTTTTTACTTTGTACTTTTGACAAGCCAATTTAATGTACCAAAAATGAATTTTGCAGATTCTATTAAGCACTAGACTACTATTAGATAATCCTAGAAATAAGCAGAACAGCACCATCCTAGTCCAGCCCCTAGTTACTTTCTTTATAAGCACTAAGATTGACGACTCAAGAAAACACTTCAAATCTAACGAAAAATTCCAACGACAAAAATTATCGTTGGAGATTCCAATGAATATTCTAACAAACTTAATTTTATGTTGGAATAAGTGTTGGACTATATTTTAATAGTTGAGGAATTCCAACTGATTTTTTCCGTTGGAATAGCTGGAGGAATTTATTTCTGTAGGATTTTCCGTTGGATTTTAGCTATTTCAACGGCCGTTTTTCCCACGGATTTTTATACGTATGAATTTCTGTTGGAATAGCTGTTCCAACGGAAAATATAAAGAATTCCAACGGATAATTTCCGTTGAAATGTAAAAGTTTTTTTTCGTAGTGCATGTTTTTCAACAAATATGCACAATTTTAATTTTAAATGTCATGCTTTATAAGACAACATAAAAAAAATATATGACTTTTTATGATCTAAGTATGTATTTTTATTGCAAAATTCTGATGTATAGATTTTCCTAACGGTTAAACCGTCTGACAAAAATATTTGTGATTCTAATTTAGATTTTTCTTTTCAATAATACATCATTATGTAATCAATGTTAAACTATAGTGTATGTTTGTATGGCATTAATTTACAAATATACATATTTATTAGAAAGAAATATAATTATAAGCAAGGCCACTCCAAATGTTATGGTCATTTATCACGTGAATATGCATTGGAATGTCTAACATCAATCAAGACTAATTATGGATTGTCATCCTCGTCAGCACTACCAACTTGTCTTGTTTAATTTATCAATTTTAATGATCTTTACCTAAACGACACATTGTATATGGGCATTAAAAATTCCCCGCAAAACCAAGAGGGCAATGTGCTGTACCCTAAATGTCGGCCAACTATGATCTTAGTTATAATTTTGATCGCTTTGAACAATGAACCAGATCAATCGAATTTACATCCCTTACAATCAAATATCATATGTATTACACTAATAAACTGTTGGAAAAATCAGTTATAAAATATGAGTTTGACCCGATTTTGACTGAATTTTTGATGGCTAAATATTTAATTTTAGTTGAATTAAATATTGTAGAAAAATTC